TTAAATGAAGACTTAGGGCTTCGGGCATATCGAAGAAAAACAGGACATCGTTTGAATGCTCGTCTAATGGACCTGAGACTGAAGAGATGCCGCGCTTTGTTGAAGCGGTAAGCGCGAAAAAAAATATCGGGAAATTCTTTTTTCGGATGAAAAAATTTTTACCGTAGAAGAGAGCTACAGCAAACAAAATGATAAGGTGTACGCACACAGTAGTGAAGAAGCGAGCAACCGTATTCCGCGTGTCCAACGAGGTCATTTTTCATCCTCGCTCATGGTAAGATTAGGAGTTTCTTATTGGGCCTTAACAGAGGTACATTTTTGTGAGAAAGGTGTAAAAACGAATGCAGTTGTGTATCAAAATACAGTCCTGACGAACCTTGTGGAACCTGTTTCTCATACCATGTTCAGTAACAGGCACTGGGTATTCCAACAAGATTCGGCGCCAGCTCATACAGCGAAGAGCACACAAGAATGGCTGGCGGCGCGTGAAATCGACTTCATCCGGCACGAAGACTGGCCCTCCTCCAGTCCAGATTTGAATCTGTTAGATTACAAGATATGGCAACACTTGGAGGAAAAGGCGTGCTTAAAGCCTCATCCCAATTTGGAGTCACTCAAGACATCCTTGATTAAGGCAGCCGCCGATATTGACATGGACCTCGTTCGTGCTGCGATAGACGACTGGCCGCGCAGATTGAAGGCCTGTATTCAAAATCACGGAGGTCATTTTGAATAAACTTTAGTGTCATAAGAATCTATGTTTTGTTCATTTTCGTATATAAATGGTTACATAATGAATAAACTTGTTTCAATTATTTTATATTAAACATGTGACAGAATTTATGACCTGACTAGTTATATACGATACGTATAACAAAAATACATTTTTTTTTAATTTTTGTCTGTCTGTTTGTTCCGGCTAATCTTTGAAACGGTTGGACCGATTTTGACGGGACTTTCACTGGCAGATAGCTGATGTCATAAGGAGTAACCTAGGCTACTTTTATTTTAGAAAAAGAATTAGGGTTCCGTGTAAAAAAACTAAAACCCCAAATAACACGCAGGCGAAGTCGCGAGGAACAGCTAGTGTATTCATAAACTTTTAATCCTACTATGTTAAAAAGTGTTACCAACTCGTGTATTTACAAATATACAAAAAAATCAAAAAATATCAAAAAAATCATGATTTTTTTAAAAAAATCAGCATGATTTGATTAAAATTAAAAAAATCATGATTTTTTTAAAAAAATCAGCATGATTTGATTAAAATTAAAAAAATCATGATTTTTTTAAAAAAATCAGCATGATTTGATTAAAATTAAAAAAATCATGATTTTTTTCATCCCTGAAGCCTAGTAAGCCTAATAAACATTATTAATTTTTTTCCCTGTAGGTGACACTACCTGTTAAAATAATAGAGCGCAAAATTTAAAAGACGTAAATAATATATTTTAAAGTCAAGAATACAATTTTTTTTAATCAAAATTAAATGAAACGCTCATGAGGTGTGCACTTTTGGATTTTCTAAAATATTAATTAAAATTGAAATTAATAGTTTCTTTGATGCCAGCGGGCGTGTATTAAGAAATTGTTTAAAAAAATATTTATTGTCTTTATATTGAGTCATTTTAAACCTTTTCTAACGTTCAGTCGCGAACTTTAATTTAAGACCCAGTTAAGGTTGAATATCGTAGAGCAAAAATATAACTTAGCATTGGAATCGGTAATTATGGTATTGACAACGCGTGCACTAACGTTACTAGAGGCGACTGCTTTTATGGGACCATCTGTATATCTCCGACTATAAGAAAAACTGTAATGGCGGCTAAATAGAACTAATTCCCGTCGAGTTTGACGGCTCCGTGGCGCAGTGGCTTAGCAATGAGTTGTTGCGCTGGGGGCCGCGGGTTCGAATCCCGCACGGAACAAGTATTTGTATCCCTTTACAACCGGACAAAAAAAGTTAAGATTTATTGTAATTTATGATATAGGTCGTATTTATAGAGCAATAAGACACCTAGGAAAAATACTGAAAAAAATCGGAAAAGCTAGGTTTTCCTGAAAATCGCCTGCACGATCGTGCACTTTAGGATTAGTTTTACATATGCACATTTGTGCATATTTGTGGGTTAGTGTGTTTATTGAGGTAATTAGACAACATTTAAGAATTAAATCATTATTTTTAGAAAAATGAAGTATTACAATAATCAGTCTTAATTATTATTATTAATGAGTATCAAAATAGTTATTATTTTATTAACATTTAGTTATGAAACATTAACTTAAACTTTTTTATGTAATTAAATCACATTATAGTAATTAAACGTTAAAGTAATCATGAAAATTTAACAAAAACAATTATTATCTTAAAACATTTTTGGAACATTATTAAAAAAATTAAATAAAAAAAAACAATTATTTACAGTGAAATTTTTTAAAGCAATTCTGTCCTCGAATTACACAAAAATAAGCGTTACATTTCAAGCAACGAATTTTTGTGCGGCTTTTACATGTTTCTAATTGGCAAAATCTAGGCGATTTTAGATCATCGAATACCGGCAAATGATCATACCCATCGTACCGTAGTGTTGCCGATGGCATTAGAGCTTTTTTAAATTTCCTCGGCATTATGTTTTCAACTTCCTCCATGCCTTCAGTGTGACGTTTTTCAGGGGAACTCAGTAAGACCTCAGATATCTCAAGGCAAAAGTCTAATAAATCTAGTGTTTTATTCCGTCTGTAATTATTGGAAATGCAATTTATTTTGTAAGCGCGCCAAGCGTTGACTAGAGTTAAATCATAAAAGTGAACGAGTACTTTTAGTGTCCATTTCCGAGTTTTTATGAATGTTCGGTAGTATTCAACCTGTTGGTCGAGAACATACACTCCTCCCATGTATCGGTTATAATTTTGAATTACTTTTGGTTCAGTCACATCAACTTAGGTGCGAGTTCGCTTATCCCACCTTTTAACAATTTCAGTACAGTTAAATCCAGTGCAATTAGAAGCTATCAAAACAGATTTATTGTCTTTCCACATTACCAAAACTGTAGAACGAACGAACGAACTTGAGTTATCATAGGTTGGACTTTCCACAACGGATTTGTCGCCTGTTGAGGTGGTGCAGTATCAGTGCCTACTACATGCAATGCATTTCGTAATTGTAAGAATCGATAACGGCTCAGTTTGCTAGTTATTTTTTCTAGGGAAATGCCACTACGCCAGTACATAGTTAGCCTTGGAAATGGAATACATCCCATTAAAATATGAATACCAAAAAGTTTCTGTATCTCAGACTTCGTAGTTTTAAATTCACTCCCAGTCTTTCTCAAATAATATAAATTTGTGCAAGTACTGACCATTTCATAAAACTGGTCACCAAAGTAATCTTGCACGAAATCAATTGGTTGTTTTACCGATTTCATAGGTCGTTCAAGGTACGTATGCTGGTTATCTTCAAACGAAGTAAGTCTCCAGCGACTAGGGCGGGAACCACAGCGACACGGACGTTTAGCGGTTGGTACTACGGAATAAGGTGCTGGTACGGACTGGTCTGGTACTAGAATGCCTTCCACCTGGTCATATCTTTGATTTTCAGCAGGATCTTCGGGTAAACCAAGGTCACCTATATTGTTCAAGACAGTAGGATCAAAAAACGGTTCCTCGTCGTCGGAGTTGTCAAAACACTCAATGTCCGAATCATTGCCGTCACCCAACACTTGTAAAATGTCTTCGTCCTGCATGCGGCCTAAAACATTCAAAAATAACCACTTAAATTACATCGTACAACGAAATAAAATAACACAGTAATTAAATTAAAAAAGTATAAGTAACACCTAAAATGCACGAACGTGCATCTTTAAATTTGATGCAGAATAAATGAATTAATAATGAACATAATTACAAAAATACGTTAAAATATTATGAGTTGGTTTATTACTAATAGAATTAAATAGTTTAATAATAATATTCCATTAAAATACTAGAAAATAAATATACTTACTTGAAGCGCCTCGCCCGCCAAAATACGCTGCCATTTCCGACGAGGTACTGTGGCGCAGTAACGAGTTACAACTTGTATTATTATGTTTTTTACTAAGGACTATATCATGCACGATCGAGCGATGTCGGTTGCGTTCGGTAAAATAAGTTATGGGAAGCGCTAGATTTTTTCAAAGTTAAATGCACGCTTGGCTATGAGTCGGTTGTAAAGGGTTATGGCCTACAAATAGCTGTTCCGGGTCTGGATGTTTGTCCTCGTGCGATTTATGTTTGTAAACTGCCTCCACGACACAGGAGAAAGTCCTAGTGTGGGGGTAACGTTTTTAAAAAAAAGAAAAGAAAAAAAAAGAAGTTGGATATGTTACATGTAACAACACTAGATCAGCGTGCGATGAAAAATAGGTAATAAAATACGTATCGAGGATATCCGCAGGAGAACAAGAGTAACTAAAATAGTCCAGCAGATCAGTATGCTGAAATACCAATGTGCAGGCCGTATAGCTCGAAGAACCGACAACCACAGTGGTAGAGCCACGCGGCAGAATTGCTGTGGCACGGATGGGCCGGCTCGAACCGGGGTGGTACCACGACCTCACAGAATACCAGCGTGAAGTAGAGGTTTAGCTCTGCGTTTCGCTTGGTGAGTGCAGGTGGCCGGAGGCCCTTTTTACTGGAAATGAGGCATTCCATCTTAGTCCTCACGGGGTTGTCACCCGTCTGGAGGATTGTCATGCATCTGCATTTTGATTCGCAAACGAGGATAGATGTAGATGTCTATGGGCCGCAGCAATCACTTACCATCAGGTGGACTGTGTGCTCGTTTGTCACCCTTATCCTATAAAAAAAAACCTATGGTGAAAGAAGTTTGGACTAGACGCACGTGTTCGATGGATACATTTCCCTCAGGGCCGTACTTTGCCGATACTTTTGGGATAGGCCCACGTTCTGCAATGGTCTTGTGATAAGCTGAAAAGATAGTGTGATAGTATGACACTTACATCGTTAAAATCCAATTCTACTTCAATATTCTCAACTTTAATATTCACTTCGGGATCTAGCGCTACTTCTGTGGGCAGTACTGCCTTCTCCTCTATATCTTTAAATGGATCTTCTTGGCTCTGCTTCTTTTTCTTTTTCTTCTTTTTTACTTTTATTTCGTATGACATAGGCTCTTCGGGCAAAAACAATGTGGGGTCTTTTCTTTTAACCGATAAGTCTTCAACACCTTCCATTTTGAACGAATAACATTTATCTGAAATGGAATAGACAACAAACAATTAATTTCATCTGGTATAATATATAAGATAATATTATTATGCCCGAAAAAAAAATTATTGTTTACAACGTTTCGTACCACAAACATAAAAAAGATTATCGACGATAAAGCCAATATCCGCTTACAAACGGGGAAAATATAAATACAACAATTAATTCTCTTTATGAGGCTTGCGATTGCTCATTTCAACTGTTGTAAATGCTGGCGGGAAATAAAAAAATGGATTGTCCGATTTCTACCGACTTCAAAAAGGAGCCGGTACTCAATTCGACTGTATGTTTTTTTTATGTGTTACCTCATAACTTTTTACTGGGTGAACCAATTTCGATGATTCTTTTTTTAATTGAAAGCTGGTACTTCACATGTGGTGCCATACGAATTTGATCAAAATCAGACCAATAGTTTTTGAGTTATTCTTAATAATTTATATTGAGGTCGGCTGTACAAAATTTTTAATTTCTAATTATTTGTGCTTATACAGGGGTAGTGGGTTCTAAAATCATAGAAAGTTTGCTTACGTAATACTTGAACGCTCCAATACGACACACTGAATGATATGGGATAGTGGATATTCTTACACCACATCCACTACACGGTTGAAGCTATGGCATGAAGCGAAGCACGTATCAAAATATTGCTTGTGACCTACAACTACAGAAATCCTTAGTAAAAATAAACTTAGTTTTTACGTGGTAGCCCAGGGGTAAGCAGTTTTAAGCACAGTTCATACTTTTTGTGCGTGTTACACCTAAGTCTGCGACACGGCAGAAGCAGTTTGTATAGTCACGAGGACTGAACCGTATGATCGGTAATTAAAATACTGATTTAATTACGAAAAAAATTATTAAAATTGAGAATCACATCCCACTGTATGAGTTTTTTAATTCTTTTTTTTTTTGTGAGGTCAAGGCAACCAGGAATATAGTAAAGTAAAAAAGTAAAGTTTCTGGCACAGACAAGAGAGAAAGGAAACATCATCATCATCATCATTACAGCCCTTCACAAGTCCACTGCGGAACATAGCCACCTGCATCCATCGACTTCCTGCATATCTTACCAGGTCATCACTCCATCTAGTGGGGGGACGCCCTACACTTCGCCTACCGGTACGAGGCTGCCACTCGAGAACCTTTCTTCCCCATCGGTTGTCGGTTCTTCAAGCTATATGGCCGGCCCATTGCCACTTCAGCTTACTAATCCGTTGGGCTATGTCGGTTACTCTGGTTCTACTGCGGATATCCTCATTTCTGAGTTTATCACGCAGAGAAACTCCGAGCATAGCCCTCTCCATAGCTCGCTGAGCGACCTTGAGCTTCCTCATCCGGCCAGCAGTGAAGGACCACGTCTCAGTTCCGTATGTCATCACTGGCAACACGCACTGGGTGTACAGTCTCGTTTTCAAGTTTTGAGGTATACCTGACGAGAAGATGTGCCGTAATTTCCCGAACGCTGCCCAACCGAGTTGAATCCGTCGATTGACCTCTCGGTCGAAGTTGGACTTACCTAGTTGGACTTTTTGTCCCAGGTAAACATACTCGTCAACAACTTCGAGCTTAGTGTTCCCAACAATTACCGGCATAGGTGTGACATGGACATTAAACATGATCTTTGTTTTGTCCATGTTCATCTTAAGACCTATCCGTTGGGAAACACTATTGAGGTCATTGAGCATAGTGCTTAGGTCCTCCAGCGATTCTGCCATTAGGACTATATCGTCGGCAAATCGAAGGTGAGTGATGTACTCGCCATTGATGTTGATACCGTATCCTTTCCAGTCCAGAAGCTTGAAAACATCTTCCAATGCAGCGGTAAAGAGTTTCGGGGATATGACGTCACACTGTCTTACACCTCTCTGCAATTGGATAGGTTTCGTACTCTGGTTCTGTACTCGGATAGCCATCGTAGCCCTACTGTACAAGCACTTCAACACTTCGATATACCGACAGTCAACTTGGCATCGCTGAAGGGACTGCAGCACCGCTCAAATTTCGACGGAATCAAAGGCTTTCTCATAGTCCACATACGCCAGACATAGTGGCAAATTGTACTCCTCGGACTTCTGTACAATTTGCCGAAGGGTATGTATGTGGTCTATGGTGCTAAAGCCTTTTCGGAAACCGGCTTGTTCGGGAGGCTGAAAGTCGTCAAGTCTGCGCGCGAGACGATTCGACGACGAGTCGCTCAGAAGGGAAATCGGTCTGTAGTTCTTCAAGAGAGCGTTGTCGCCTTTCTTGAAGAACAAGACCACCACACTTCTGCTCCACGCCTCCGGTGTAATGCCACCATGGAGGACGGAATTAAAGAGCTTCTGAAGGACTTCAAGTACCGGTTTTCCACCCGCTTTCAGAAGCTCCGCTGTAATTCCATCCTCGCCTGGGGCCTTGCCGTTTTTAAGGTGCTGGAGAGCCATTCTAATCTCGCTCAGACTGACGTCCGGGATATCATCGGAATAATGTCGGATAAGACTCGCTCTTGGATCGTTACTCACATTTGTGTGCGGCTCCAACGATGACGTGTACAGCTGCCCATAGAACCTCTCAATCTCACTCAAAATCTCAAGTGCCCCGGAAACGATGCTGCCACATTCGGTCTTCAGCTTTGACAGTTGGCTCTTTCTGGCAGACAGATCTCTGGCAAAGACTTTGGAGCCTTGGTTCCGCTCGATCGCTTCTTCAATATGAGCTGTATTGAAGTTGCGTAAGTCCCGCCGCATGCATTTGGAGATCTGTCTGTTCAGTTGCCTGTATGCTGTCAAATCTGTTGAAGAATGTAGCTTCATCTCCCGTCTAACATCCGGAGAGTTTTTGTGTTCTTCTGCGGCGGGTCTTGCAGAACTTAGCTCCGACCGCATGGACAGTTTCCACGAGCTTGTCATTCAAATCGTCCACTTCATTGAAGTCTTCTAGGCACTGAAAATGGTTTTGTAACTCGAGCTGAAAGGTTTCGGGGCTTTGGATTAGAGCACGAGGGGGACGGAGCGTTGACTTCATTAGACGAGACCTCTCCAACTTAACGTTTAGGTTCAGTGTGCCTCTAACCATTCGGTGATCGCTGCCGGTTTTCACCCTCGCGATCACTGAGATATCACTGAACAGTTGTCGTCTGGTCGTCATAATGAAGTCAATCTCATTTTTTGTCGATCCGTCGGGGCTCGACCAGGTCCACTTCCTGTGGGGCCGCTTCTGGAAGAAAGAGTTCATCATAAAGAGTCCCTCTTTCTCCATGAAGTCGGCCAGCTGCTGGCCTCTTGGGTTCCGTTGCCCTATTCCAAATTTCCCCACTTTCAGCTCACCGTTCTCTCTTGTGCCTAGTTCTGCATTGAAGTCTCCCATTAACACCGTATATTGGGTTTTGGAGGAATGCATGGCTCTAGAGATATCTTCATACATTTCCTCCACCTCCTGATCGGGGTGTGCCGAGGTTGGTGCGTAAACCTGTATGACCTTCAGCGAATACCGTTTGGTGATTCTGAGTATAAGGTACGCAACCCTCGTCGACACACTCTCAATCTTTACAACGTTGTTAACGAGAGACTTGTGGACGATAAATCCGACACCTCCTTGGGACAGATGGTCGCCCTCCCGTTAATAGAGCAAGTTGCCGGATTCGAGGATTACCGTGTCCTCCCCCTCTCTTCGGACTTCGGATAATCCTATAATATGCCAGCGTAACTTGTCTATCTCTTCTTCCAGCTCCACAATCTTCTCGTCAGTCCTCAGGGTGCGTGCGTTGTATGTTGCCAGGTCGAGTCGTCGTAGGTGGCAACCGAAGCTCCACCGGAGATTCTTAGCACCCCCTGCCCCGCCGTTACCATGGTCGCCACCGTAGCCAGGAATAGCGGGGCCGCCGGGGACTGGGGGCCGTCTCTTCGTAACTTTCATCATGGGGGGTATATTGCCATAGTTGCCACGCTTGGCGAGCGGATTGGCAACCGCAGTTTTTTATTGTATTTTGCCGTTACCAGGAAGATGCTGCTGCCCATCTACTGCCTGTTTCCCTTTGTCGCCTTTTACGACACCCACGGGAAGATATGGGGTAGTGGATATTCGTAACCGCCACTACACGGCGAAAGGAAACGTTCGTCCCCAATGCATATTGGCGAAATTCACATGACTACAAATATTTTTGTTTTCCTTTACTGCAGAGCATGTGATAATTCATCACTTTAAATTGCAATTAATAATGTAATTGGTGCCAGCGGGGATAGAACCCGGGTGAGTAACCATACTGCAATATTATACCATGAAATTTACTGCAATCCCTTAGAACCTTTTTAATTGTGGGGAAATCCTCATACCTCATATATTTTGCTGTAGGGGTAACAAAAGGTTATGCCGGACTGCTACCGGTTAAAACCCCATGGTGGTCACGATCAGCGTATACGAGGGTCCCACGATCTCCGTTCACAACCCGAACACTATTAGCGCTATAGAGCACGCACCGGGGTCAGTACTTGCTGACTCCAGCAATCTCGTAGTGTTACCACAATGTCTCGAGTAATTTCTTAGCCCCTCAGCTAACACGGGTCTCCTAAATCAAGAATATAATCTGTCTATAATTATAATTTTTCACAAAAAGTAAAAACCAACTTCAAATTGCTAAAAAAGAAATTTCTTAATTTACTACCCTTAAGGGTAAAATTATTTCTCCAAATTTATATGGGACCACCCTTGAAGCATATAATAAAATATTTAATAAAAAATGAGTCATCATAATTAGTTCACAATCTGCAAAGATATCACATAACATACATACAAAGAAAAACATACATATTTCAAAGCTTACTCCCGTACCAATTCGAATCAAGAAACAGTCGATTTACAAGCAAGAGTTAGACTGTTATAGGCATATCTGGATATGTGATCACCCAAAGATAATTTTTAATAAATTAAAAATTTACTTCTTAATTACTTTATTAGTTTATTACATAAACAATAAGTGTTCCCATAACTTACT